ATATAGTGATTTTAGGACACTAATTATTATCATTAATTCCCTTAAAATATACATGAATGGTAATTGGGTATATAAAATGTAATTATAGTAAAACTTGAGTAGGGAGTGTAATATAGTTTCATATAGTGTATAGGAATGTAAAAATCTCTTGAATTTATTGTACCACAATCAATAACTTATTTTCTGCTATGAAAATGTTACTCGGTTTTACTTACACTAGTGCGTTACACGTGTGCATCGCGTCAATTTGCATAAATGTATATAAGAATATATTGTTGAAAGTTAGCAATTGGCATTAAACTAAATCTAATATTTGTTATACGTCTTAAACTTCAAAAGCACTTATGAAGTATGTCAAATAAGAAAAAAATAATATAAAATAAATTTGAATTTGGAGTCCTAAATGTAGTATTTTTTACATAGTTAAAATAAGAAAAAATTAATTAATAAGCAAAATTTTAATTAATTTGTACTCTTAAATATTAGAAAAATAATTATATGATTATTTTATCTAGTGTGTAATTTATTTTAAAAGTAAAAGACGAACGATATTTCGATAAAGAAATTCGTGCTTTTAATATAGTAATAACATAAATAAAAAGTGTTACACATTCAAAGTCTTAAAGACAAGGAAGGGCTATGGATTCTAATACAACTACAAGGATTCATGTTAAGGAAGAAAGACAAAAACTCCAAGTTAAAAGAAATAGTATACGTTGAGAATCGTGAACCCGTAGGATTCAACCATAATACTATGCGTTGTGGATTCATAATAGTATATATATGCTGTGAATTCACAGCGTTATGTCTCTTAATTAAGTAACCAAAATGATTTTGTTTTCTAATGTAAGGAATTTTAGTTTTGTTACATAATTTAAACAAGAAAAAGGATTTATATAAGGTAAACACTTAATGAATTCTAAAGTCCTAAATATTAAGAATCTATACATAGGTCAAACAAGGAAAGATATAATAAGTAAAGTTTGAATTGATTTTAAAGTCCTAAATATTAGGAAAGTAATTAAATTACGATTTTGTCCAATGTAAAATTAATTTTAAAGGGTAAAAAAGGCGAACGACATTTCGGTACGGGCCTTCGTGCTTTTAATATAGTATAGATAAAGGTTTTACTTTGTGATCATATTTCTTATCATATTTGATTTTCCTATCTGTTAAAAGAGACGACACATATGTACCATAATTCCTTTGCTTGGAAGAAAATTATGAATCTCACGTATTTTGGCTAGTCCTTTTTTCTTATGGTGTCATGAGCCCAAAACTACCTAGGCCGTGATGGCGCCTATCGTGATACTAGGCTAGCCAATCCACTACACATAACATAAGGAACTTTTCCTTTAATTCAATATTAACTGACAATTCATAAAATTACCATTTTTAGCAAGTAGAGAAAAGTAAGATATATAAACACTGCCCCAAAACCCGGAGTCATCAGTCATGAGCATCTAAAAGGAAATACAAATCTGTACTGTTCCCTTAATACAAACAAGTCTGAGAATGTACATAATGACGAAATAGGAAAGAGAAAGGCGAGGCTGCGGACGCCATGCAGCTACCTCGCAATCTCCGAAAGGCTCCACAGGGAAAAATCCGCTCTCACTCAGTCCTGGCACCTGAATCTGCACACAAGGTGCAGGGAGTTACGTGAGTACGCCAACTCAGTAAGTAACAATTAGAACTAAAGACTTGAGTGCAGTGACGAGCATTTAAAGATCATGTAAAGCCATATACTAAGCAACAGTGAAAATAATTTTAATCGAGTCAGAAATCTACATTCCGAATTTTTCATAAAATCTCCAGTTTTCCATTTAAAATATCGTATAAAACATTTGTTCAATGTTTTCATTAGAGGCTCAATGTAAAGAAGGGTGAAAACAGTAGTTTCATAAAAATATCAGCCCCTCGGGCACATTGTCACTCACAAATAAAGCCTCTCGGGCAAGCCTCTCAGTCACTTGTGACTCTACTCTCATAAGTCAATGCTCACACTCAACACTCTCACTCAATAGGTACCATATAACAACGCTGCGGCGCGCAGCCTGATCCATATAATAACCGCTGCGGCGTGCAGCCCGATCCATAATAGTAACCGCTGCGGTGTGCAGCCCGATCCATAATAGTCGACTGCGCTCACTAGGGGTGTATAGACTCCGGAGGGGCTCTTACAGCCCAAGCGCTATATCGTTGCAGCGTGCAACCCGATCCATATATATATATATATATATGTATAAAATACTGCGGCGTGCAGCCCGATCCATCACTATACTCACAATCCGGCTCTCGGCCAGATCGGAAGAGNTCTACTGCAACGGTTATATTGTCTATTGCAACGAGTCTTGTTAGTAACTATATATATATATATATATATATATATATATATATATAATACTGCAGCGTGCAACCCGATCCATATATATATATATATATATATGTATAAAATACTGCGGCGTGCAGCCCGATCCATCACTATACTCACAATCCGGCTCTCGGCCTCACTCTGTCATCATCCTCACAAGCCACTCGGGCAACTCATCACAAATCATGGGGACTCAGCCCAAAATATCTTTCATTAATTAAAAACAGAGTGATAAACAGTGAACAGGTATAAATCATGACTGAGATTATATTTTCTATCAAAATAGTGTGAGAATAGTAGTAAAATACCCTTAAGGGTCCAAACAGGTCGGCACAAGGCCCAAACATGGCGTACAACCCAAAATATAGTATCAATCTCTAAAATACGGGATATCATATGATTTCAAATCAAATACGCTGCTTAATAGTCGCTACGGGACGGACCAAGTCACAATCCCTATCGGTGCACGCCCACACGCTCGTCACCTAGCATGTGCGTCACCTCATTTATCAAAACAACACAAAATACCAGGATTTCATACCCTCAGGTCTAGATTTACAACGTTACTTACCTCAAATCGGCCAAAATCCTAATCTGCGATGCCCTTGCCTCTTGACTCGGCCTCCAATTGCTCCGAACCCACGCAAGAATCTCTCCAAAAATCGCCTTCTACCGATCTCCCAATTAAATTTTGTGATATGAACTCAAAACCCTCATTTTTTATCTTTAAGTTCTGCCCAGGTATTCCTTCTTCGCGTTCACGGGCCACCCATCGCGTTCGCGATGAACAAAAACTCTCAAAAGCTATTTCCAAACTCTTCTCAGACAGCCTATAGTATAATGGCCATAACTTTTGGTACAAAACTCCAAATGACAAATGGTTTAATATTTTGGAAACTAGACACCAAGATCTATAACTTCCTTGTTTTTGTAGTTTTCCAATTCCTTATAGGTTTTGAGATATAAGCTGCCAAAGTTAGCCCTGTGCAACACAAATTTCTTCTTCATCTTCCCGGACAGTCTGTAGTGTACCAGCCATAACTCTTTGTAAACAAATACAAATACTAAATGGTTTATTTTTCTGAAAAATAGACACAAAGGGCTACAATATTTGTTTTCGGATCATCTTCAAATTCCTTATAGATTGTGAGATATGAGCCTCCAAATTCAGACATGCGTAATAGAGATTTTTCTTCTTTGCGAACGCGAGGATCTCTTCGCAAACGCGAAGAACAAAGTTCCTGGAGCGAAATCCTTCTTCGCGAACGCGAAGAACAACACGAGACACCAGCATCAGCTATTGCTAAACAACCCGTAATGATCCGAAATCACCCCGAAACACACCCGAGGCCCCCGGGGCCCCGTCCAATCACACAACCAGTCCCATAACATAACACAGACCTGCTCGAAGCCTCAAATCACCTCAAACCACATCAAAATCATGAATCTCACCCCAATTCAAGCCTAATGAACTTTAGAACTTCAAACTTCTACATTTGATGTCGAAACCTATCAAATCACGTCCGATTGACCTCAAATTTTGCACACAAGTCGCAAATGATACGACGGACGTGTTCCAACTTTTGGAATTCCATTCTGACCCCGATAGGTAATTTTCTAGTGCCGACCGAAAAGCGCCAAAAACTCAATTTTGCCAATTCAATCCTAATTCTACTACGGACGTCCGAAAAACATTCCGAACACACTCCTAAGTCCCAAATCACCTAATGAAGCTATCCGAGCCATAAAAACCACATTCCGAGGTCATTTACCTATAAGTCAAGTTCCGGTTGACTTTTCTAACTATAAATCCAACTTAAGAGACTAAGTGTCTCATTTCTCTCCACAATCACTCCGAACCCGAGCCAACCGTCCCAACAGAACATAAAAGAGCTGAACAACACATAATAAAGCAGAAATAGGGGAAACGGGGCTAAATTCTCGGAACGACCGATCGGGTCGTTACATTCTCCCCCACTTAAACATACGTTTGTCCTCGAACATGCCCAGAGTTGTTCCAAAAACCACCAAAATTGCCGTGTAACCTACCATGCACATACCCGGGGGTGATCCCACGTCACCCTATCCCATATAGGTCCAATAGCACAACACAGTTGAAATTTTGAAATCCAACCTGATCCATAAACCTTAGAACCATTTCCACTTCTGAAATAATTTACAAGATCAAAATTCCACAACTATAGACTGAATAAGTCTGAACACACTGTATCAAGCCATATCCGTAACCTAAGATGTAATCACATAATATACTGCATGACTCAAACACTCATAGCGATTACTCCTAATCACGATAATGCCAGCAACATCTTCGAATATATTTCAAACTCCAATTCACACCTTTACTTGTTCCCTTATATGGAGTTTTTAAATGCCAACTGGCATTACGAATTCTTTTTCCTCTACCAAACAATTCTTCTACTACATTTGCACTTTGTCCAATCTGTAGTACTTGTTCTCCTGGAACTTCTTTTCCTTTATAGGAGGCAAAATTTAGTTTTTCATTTTCACATTCTACCTTCTTTATATTTTTTATTTCAGATTTCGATGTGGGCTGCACATCATAATAACCATCCAAATGAGCAACAGGCTTAGCAATTTTAAGAGGAGAAACATAAACTCCCTCATTCACACTTGAATATAAAATAATCTTTTTGTCAGAATCATTTTTCTGCATATCAGCAGCAACAGATTGTTCAGCAGGGTCGCGATCAACAGCAGCACTGATGTTCATAGGTTCATGATCAATCGCATTATAACTTGATTGACTTGACTGAGTCAAAATATTAAAATTAGGGCATGAATCCACAGATTTCCTCTTTCTTTTTCTAGTATACAATTTTCCATGCTTCAAAAAAATAAAAAAGAAATGGATAGATTAACGTCCATTATAACATTTCAAAAAAACAATAAAACTACGCACACTAACCTGTTGAATGTTTTCAATAATTCATGAACAACAAGAGGGGCTTTTTCATTCAACACCCTTTCAATTCCTTCCAAATTACCTTTACTTTCTTGCATGCATATATCAGAAAGAGTTGCTAGACCAGCAGATTCAGGTTCCCTTTCCTTTGGTCAAGATGTGGCATTGACGTTTACTATAGGAATATGTTGTTCCACTTCAGATGAATCCAAAATTATATTTTCTTGTTCAATATCACGAATAATAGCTTCAACATCTGTACCTCCTGTTACAATATCTTTCCACTTCCCTGAGAGACTGCAAGTCGGTTGTTTTGCAAAATATTTTGACTGGACTGTGGTGACCATGTGTCATATGTAACAATATTTATTTTTCTAATAATAGCATCAATATCACTACCAGATGTAATATCAGTTTCATCTGGACTACAATCTGCTCTTTTTTCATTACAAAAAGGACCTTTCACTACATTTGTACCACTTGGTCCACCTTGACCACTGCATTTCTTATTTTGTGCATCATGGAGTGATTGAATATCCATGGCTGGTAGCATTGATGACACAGCTTCACTATTTTCCTTATTATCTTGACTGCACTGTGGTGTTGAAAGTTGATATTCCCCATCAACTATTTTTTGTATGATAGCAGCAACATCCGTACCAGTTGACTGAACTTGATCAAGTGCACTACATTCTATCCTTTCTTCATCACAAGGACTTTTCACTGAATTTCCATCACCTGCTGCTTGTTCATTAGTATTATCTTCATCACAACAAACTTTCACTAAACCTCCAACAACTGCTGCTGCTTCATCAGAATCCTTATTATTCTGCCCTCCTTGGACTAATTCAATATGCATGACTGATGGAATTAACAATGCAGCTGCGGTATTTTGCAAAATATTTTTACTGCTCTGTGATGTTAAAAGATTATATGTCCCGTCAACTATTTTCTCGATGATAACATCAACATCTGTACCAGTTGAAAGAACTTGATCAAGTGCACTACATTCCACTCTTTCTTCCTCACAAGAACTTTTGACTGAATTTCCATCACCTGCTGCTTGTTCATTAATAGTATCTTCATCACAACAACCTTTCACTAAATCTCTAACAATTGCTGCTGCTTCATCAGTATCCTTATTATTTTGCCCTCCTTGGACTGATTCAATATCCATGACTGATTGTCACGACCATAAACCCGGACCCGATCGTGATGGCGCCTCTCGTGAAGACAAGGCCAGCCGACATACTTCTAATTCACTTTAAGCAGTTTAAAATAATAAATACTAAGTCTTTAACAGAAATAAAATCCTAAAATAACAGTGAACAGTACAATTTTACGGAATTAATTACCAACACAGCCCGACATCGGGGTGTCACCAGTCATGAGTATCTAAAATAATACTACAAGTCTGAAAGTTTACTCCACTACTACATAACTGAATCAGAAAGGAAATAAGATAGAGGGAGAATGCCCGGGGCTGCGAATCGCCGGGCAGCTACCTAGTGAGTCTCCGGAAATCTGCTGGACAGCTCTCAACCCTCGCTAGCAGGACTTGTAGCGCCCAAATCTGCAGACAGGGTGCAGGGAGTAAAGTGAGTACTCCAACTCATTGAGTAATAACATTAAATGAAGACTGAACGATATAAAATCACGTTAATCACAACAATAAGCTATAAGAGGCAGAACAAAATCAGTAAACACAATTAAACAGTAAAATCTCATAAAACACATTTTAAACAGATTAAAAAAATAGAGAAAGAACAGCTAGAAAGGTAAAACACGTAAGAACTGCTCCTCGGGCACAGTAACAATAGAATCGGCCCCTCGAGCAATATCACGGAACAATACCAGCCCCTCGGGCTACATCTCATATCACAATGGATACCCGCGCTCACTGGGGGTGTACAAACTCCGGGAGGGGCCCCTTACGGCCCAAGCGCAATATCAAGCCATCTCGTGGCATCATAAACAGGCTCTCGGCCTCATATCAATCACAAGCCACCTCGCGGTGAATAATCTCAGGCCCTCGGCCTTATTATCGTAATCAGTATATCACCGCTGCGGCGTGCAGCCCGACCCAAAAGTAATCTCACAATACAGGCCCTCGGCCTTACTCAGTCAGAATCTTATAAGCCCCTTGGGCAACAGTAAACATGATGCTCAGCTCAAAATATATTTTAAAATATCATTTAAAGTGTTTAAAACAGAGTAACATGGCTGAGTTTTGAAAGCAGTAAAATACGGCATGACTGAGCACAAGAATGAAATCAAACAGAGAGGAAAAATATCAGTAAAGATCCCCTAAGGGTCCAAACAGTTGGCACGAAGCCCAAATATGGCTTTTAGCCTAAAACATAATAATATCAAACAATTAGCTATCAAATACGCAGTAAAACAGTCATTCGGGATGGAATAAGTCACAATCCACAACGGTGCACGACCCCACGCTCGTCATCTAACGTGTGCGTCACCTCCACATAGCCGAACGCTGTGTAATCCGGGGTTTCATACCCTCAGGACAGCATTTAAAATTATTACTCACCTCAATCCGGATGAAATTCTACTCCGCAGTGCCCTCGCTGCTCGACTCAGCCTCCAAATGTTCCGAATCTAACCAAAATCAGTATATTATCATCAATATACGCTAAAGGAATGAATTCCTTATGAAAATTATCAAATTAGACCAAAAATCCCGAATTTGGCTCAAACCCGGCCCCATGCTTCGGAATCCGACGAAACTCATAAAATCCGATAACCCATTCAATCACGAGTCCAACCTTACCAAAATTACTAAATTCCGATAACAATTCGGCCTCCAAACCTTCAAATCTTATTTTCAAATCCCTAGGTCCAAATCCCCAATTTACACCTCAAAAACATGTAGTCTAATCGGATTATTCGATGATAATTCAATATTATGGAGTAGAAATGATCACAAGTGACTTACCTCAAGATTTCCCATGATTTCTTGCTAAAAAATCGCCCCAAGCCGTGTTCTTTCACTAAAAAAGCGTCAAAATGAGCAAAAAAACCAGCACAACATTAATAAACCCGATTCTGGTCGCTAAAAGCCATTTCCGGTCGCTAAAAGTGGTCCAATCTGGTCGCTAAAGGTGCACGCCAGATCTGATGCACCAGCCGTCTTTAATTTCACTAAAAAGGCTCTAACTCCACCATACGAACTCGGAATTCAATGATTCTTTTTCCTATGAGTCACAAATAATAATACAAACATAGTCCTTCAATCAAAACTCAATTCAGAGCTCATTTGCTCAGTGCGATACCCATTTCACTCGTTAAATAATTAACTCATGATTCGCGTCAAAAACCCAATCGCGACTTGATTAAATTAGACCAAACTTTTCAGATCACTCCTATAATTCATTATCAAAATCCTGGAAGTCTCAAAATCAAATTTCAATCTCTAGAACTAAAAATGGACCTTTAGATCATTACATGCTTATGCTCAAAACGCCAAAATCTTCCAAAAACTCTTTCAAAACTTATCCGAGCCTCATGGGACCCCGACCAAACATGCCAACACACCCCATAACATCATTCAAACTTGTTTCAACCTTCGGAACGCTCAAAACAACATCAAAATATCGAATCACCCTCGGATTCAAGTCTAAGAATTCTAAAACTTCCGAATTCCGAATTCCATCAAAAAGTCTATCAAACCTCGTCCGAATGACCTGAAATTTTGCATACACATCAAAAATGACACAACGGACCTACTTTAATTTCCGAAATTTCATTCCGACCCCAATATCAAAATTTCCACTGCCGACCGGAAAACGCCAAATTTCCAATTTTGCCAATTCGAGCCTAAATCTACCAAGAACCTCAAAAATACATTCCAGACGCGCTCACAAGTCCAAAATCACCTAACGGAGCTAACCAAATCATAGAAATCCAAATCTGAGATTGAATACTAAAAAGTCAAAACTTGGTCAAACCTTTCAAACTTTGTAACGACCCGACCGGTCGTTTTGAGCTTTTGCACTCTGATTGCCAGTTCTTGGGCATGCTTGCCTCGTATGATGTGTTATGAGTGATGTAAATTGTTGGTTTTGGTTTGACGAAAATCGGATGAATTTGAAAGAACAGTCTCAGTTGAAAGCTTTGAATTTGAAAGGTTTGACCAAGAGTTGACTTATTGGTATATGAGCTCGGATTGGAATTTTTATGTTTTGGTTAGCTTAGTGGGGTGATTTATGACTTGGGAGTGTGATCGGAATTGGTTTTGGAGGTCACGTGTGGAATTTGGCTTGAATTGGCAAAGTTAGTATCTTGGCGATTATAGGTGAGATTTTGATTTGAGGGTCGGAATGGAATTCCGAGAGTTTCTGTAGCTTTGTTATGTGATTTGGGATGTGTGTGCAAAATTTCAGGTCATTCGGACGTGGTTTGGTTGGGTTTTTGATCAAAAGCGTGTTTCTGAAGTTTTTGGAAAACTTAAGCTTGAATTTGATGTGAATTGATGGTTTTGGTGTTATGTGAGGTATTTTGATGATTGGAACAAGTTTGAATGAGGTTTTAGAATGGGTTGGTACTTTTGGTTGAGGTCCCGGGGGCCTCGGGTGAGTTTCGGGTGGTCGATCAGACCAATCTTGGCATTTTGGAGTTGCAGATTCTGCTGTCTTGATGTTGCAGAGTGTTTGTGCTTCGCGATCACGGGTGTGGTGTCGCGATCGCGTAGAAGCAATTTGGGAGGCAGGAATTCTGTTCTCTGCATTCGCGTTTGAGTGTTAGCGATCGCGGAGTATTAGTTGGTGGTGCTTCGCGTTCGCACAAGGTAT